AAACATAGATATATGCTGACATTTGGGTCGGATAGATTTGAATCGGCAATGGTGGTTGTTTAACAATGAAGACAACAACTCAACCAATGACCGACAACCATGGAGGTAGCTGCTGGAGGTAAATACTGTGGATGCAACCACTGTGACTTCCACCAGCCAAAACCACACAGGATCTATCAACAATCCAAACCACACGTCTTATCTCTACGTGAGGATGTTTTCCAAATCTCTCTGCAGCACACATTAGTCAAAATAACTTGACGCTTTCATAAGCACAAAAGGAGCCATAGCACATTCTCACAACAACGATGCAGATAAAACAATCTTTTCATTGCACAAAGGAGAGAGAAACTCAACAGAGGCCAATAGACCTGAATGTTGTGCGAACCCTCGTTCAGCTGACGATGCCAGAGTGACTGGAAATCAGATTAAAAATGTTATATTCTAAAACAATGCAGAATAAAACTGCTTTTCCTACAGAACAAGACATTCAAATTAGTGCCTAAGAACTCAGTTAACAACAGTGGTAATTAGCTATTATGCAAGACTGAAACAGCCTCAGCTCTTAAACACAGCTAATTGCTTCTAGGAATGCAGATAATACCCCATTCAATCCAAATGCCAAGAATACGTGTCACAAGTCCTATAAAACAGTGCATATGCATGTTGCAAAACCACTAGAACCAAAATAAGAGTAGTAGACAGCTGCTTAGCTGGTGGGGGGGGGGGGGGCAGGAATAGCATATCACTGGAAGACTCCTAGTGTGCATGGGAATGCAGCTATGAAATGACCTTGAGGAGCATCAGTAAAAGGCGTCATTAACCCATTCGATTAACCTTTTCCTCTCATAAGCTTCATAAAACTGATGCATGTATTTTGGCCGAGCCTGGACTTTTGCGCATGAATCAGGGCTGGATCGCTTGGCGTTTACGGGACTCGGGAGACGAGTGCATCCAAAGCCAGACAGACTTAGTGAATCTTCGTGGAGATAAAGTGGCAAGCGTCGACTTGTGTCAGATGGCAGCAGCAGTGTCACCTCCTCGACTAATTGCTTCAGGGAGTTCATCATCATGTTAACTCCTCACCGACGGTGAAAATCAACAAGATGCTACTCCATGCTAACAAGCAAGCTAGATGGTAGATGTTACTGCATTGCTTATTTTAGAAAAACACAAAGAAAATCTTGAGGAAAACCACCCACTGATTTTCTCCGTTTCCAAATTCCACCAGTGCCTGAAGGTTTCACGGATTGATTTATTTACCCACTGAAGGCTCCTTTGAGATGTTTCAGAGTCTGGACTCCCGGGCCGTAAAGTGACCTCTAATGGATGGATTAGGCTAAGTCATTCACTTCAGAGGGCACACAAATATACTTTGAGAGTGTATTAGATCTCTTTGGAGCTTAGCATGATCAAATTATTGCATTAGACCGGTCAACTTATCCAATTAAAGTTGTAAAATGCATGGCTCTCGCCCAAGCGAGACGGCAGACCCTTGGGGCGTTGGAGGGTTTGCGGGAGGCTATCCGCCTCATCGACGGGGCAGCCCTCGCCACATACTTCAGCTGGGGATTACAGCCTTTCATCTTGCTCAGACTGCCGGCAGCACACAGGCGTCTTTGAGGCCAGATATGCCTTGTAGTAACATCAGCAAGGTCCAGATTTGTGAAGCTGTTTCCCAGCTCCGTGCGCCTGTGGTCTTTTTCTCCCATGAGTATGCACACACATTTTTCCTGCCGTCCTCTTAGGAGTGCAAGGACATTTTTTTCCGTCAGTCCCCCAACTGACAAATTTAGGGGAACACTCAAAGTCACTCAAAGTGCTTTTAGAGACTTTTTTGAAGTCTTAAACCTCAGTTGAAACAATTGTTGCCATTTGTATTAGTTGCTCTGTGATATTAAAAGCTTAAACAATTAGGAAATGTTGGAATAAGATTATCCAAATGACTCAAAGGAGTTATACTGTACTGATGATGGACAGACATTCAAAATAAACTTTAAAAAACAGCAACATACAGTCAGGTTTTGATAGTTGCTTTCAAATTCACAATCCAAAATCCAACATTTAATGTTAAGCAGTTACAGGAAAAAAATGATCAAGTTTCAATTCAACCCACTCGCAAATTCACTTACACAAAGAAAGTCCTATTAGCTATAATCCCTCAGATAAGCGCTCATCTGATCTGACCTCCACTCTCTGCCGTCTTCGAAGCACCGTTGCTTTATGAACATGACAAATAGCTTATTGATCAGCAGATGTCGTCCCAATGTCCTTTCGGCTTGGGGCTGCAGCTGCAGCCGCCTGCTTCACGCAACCTGTCCCAAGCCCCTTGGTTCTCCAGCTGAGTTCCCCGCCTCCCCCTCCCCACCTCCCACTCGCTCCATGCGGGGCCCCCTGCCTGCCGGCCACCCTCCTCATCCCTCCAAGGTGTGGAAGGGGTCACAGACAAATGCCATCTGCTCCGGCAGGCAGAAAATAGCAGGTGAGACCAGCTTCGGGCCATGTGACCTGATACTGGCCACACTCAACCCACTAAAAACAAGGTCAGGAGAAGATTCAGGGAAACACCAGCTCAGCAGAGTTACAAATCAAGAGTGGGATAATATGTGGACGCAGAGATAGAGCGGGAAAAGAAAAAAAAAAAATCTAATCTACATTGTTTTAATCCACAGGGAAGATTACACAGTCACGGTGCCTTGACACAGCAGCTTGTCAGAAAGAGGTCATGCAAACTAACTCCCCGCCCGTCATGCTTTTTAACGCTGCAGAACATCCATATGTCACTCGTACACATGTCTGTCATTCAGCAGAAGTCTGTAATAAACTATTTTCCATCAATTTACAACTATGTGTCGCCAGCATTTCAGAGCCACCACTAACGATACTGTAAACCTTTAAAAAGACATTTCATCATACTTAATGATTGCAAACAAATACTGAATAACTGGAAACCCGGGGTCAGCGTCCTACTGTACGCTGCATCGAACGTTGCCAAATTAGGATTTGCTCCATCTGATGTTGACACTGTGCCGCTGAGCCTTTGTTTCCGTCTGTCAAGGACGTGGTCACATTGAATAGAGGGAGCAGGAAAGCCCGGCCAGCATCCCACTGGGGTTTTGTGCTTCATCGAGCAGCGAGGCTGCGACTGAACGCGAGGGACTGTGTGTGACAATCTGTGTGTGCGCGGAGCTTTAGGATGTTGAGGATGCAGCAGATGCTTCTGACAGACAATCACAAACAGAAAACTATCTTTAGTTCATGTATTCATGTTTTAAAAGATCTTTCGTTTTTCAACACCGGCAACCTGTTGATTTGAAATACGCTCCAATGTTAGATACTTCATCTTTTATGGCTCAGAATCTCCCTTTTAATAAGAAAAAACAAAGATGCATGTTCATTTGACACAACGGAAGGGATATTTGAGATATCATTAGTAACTCCAAAATGTAGTCTGGTTTAAAAAGAAGTCATGACTGTCAAATCTGTGTACTTCACCAGCATGAAACTACCCCATAATATGTCACAATGAGAGACATGAATGCAGTGGGTCACTGGGTCACGAAGTAGGGATGCAGAGAACCAGAGGAATGTAAGGGCTTCTCTTTCTCCTATTGACGGATTGATGGGCCCCATATTCTGAGGGGTGGAGGGAGACATCTATAGCGTCGTGAGATGCTGCTTAATAAGGGGAAGGAGGCGGGTTTTTTTAGTCTCCGTCTATGTTTTAGATGAACAAAAGCCTTTGTGAAGTCATTTATCACTGTCGACACTGAATTGACCGACACTGGAAAAGAAATGTGTACAAATCCTGCCTGGTGGTATGGTGTTTCTGAAAACTGTGCCTTTCAAAGACGTGAGGGATTTTAAAGCACTGGCTGAGTATGTGCTGGTTTCTTTACAGGAGGAAGCACTGATGCTCAGTGGTAGCTGGCATTGTCACCATATTTAGCACTTACGTGATGGACTCTGATCCTTCTTTTAAAAAGATTCACTTCAAATGGCAAATCCTACTTTCAACTTTCAACTGAGTTTACAGCAGACAGCTTCTCCCTGGGTGACAGTAAATCCAGCTTCATCGGGTCTACGAGGAAGAGGCACATAAACCTCCATCTAAAATTCAAGTCAATCTTGTGGAAAACAGGAAACGATAAGCATTCAACCAAATGTCAAACATGAATTACAGGGCTGATCGTGGTTAAGACAGCCACTCCAATCAACGGGAGCCACTACAAGTTCATGGCTTTGAAACCGCTTGGTCCTCTGGCCCAAACGCAGGTCAGTCCCTCCACAGACACTTTGGTCTTTCTAAGTGGCCATTAGGTCACTCCGGGTGTCACCAAAGATGACTCCCCTATGTTATAAAGAGGGGTGGGGATGACATAGACGGGAGGGTCATTCCTTTACACATCACTTCCTTTATTAAAGGGCTGCCCTGGCCTAGTAAAGGGGATGGTCAGTGGTCATCCATCCCCCCCTAGCCACCCACCCTGAGACCCTTTTACCCCTGTGTCCAACCCCCAGCCCCTCTCTGCTCACTCAGGGGGAAAATTACTTTGAGCCGGGGGAATATATCTCCATTGAGATGGAGAGAGGGTTGTACAAAAGAGGGTGAAGTTTAAAAAATTGTCTCTTCTTTTTCTATGGGGGCAGTGCATCGCTGGAAGGGCTAGAAAGATAGGAGCACGGAGGGGACAAGGTCATTAGATTGCCATCTCCATAAGCTCTTCATTCCCATTGTCTGGGCAAATCTGCTCCGAAGGACCTCCATGAGAAATGCCCCCAGTCAACCCCACACTGGGACCAGAGTCTCCCCTTTGTCTGCCACTTTTTAGTGTGCTTCCAGCACAAAAAGCATTTCTCAAGAACAGCGTACAAAGCTTGTCTCGAGCTCAAAACCAAACAACATTGTTCTGCTGCCTGCGGTCGAGAATGGATTGCAGGCAGCTGCTGATGTCCTACGGCAATAAAACATCTGCCCAAATATCTTAGGAACCTCTTACCTTCGGACATTTCGGCGTTCCTCGTCAAGCTGCTTGAGAAGCTCGTCAATGCATGTGTTGGCGTCCATGTATTCCTGCCAGGAAGAGATGAGAAAAGCCAAAAGTAAACAATGGAGTCAGTGTGCAAGCGCTCACACTAAATATAGGTTAATTGGAAACTCAGGCGAAGTCAACCATGATCCTAAACATTGATGCTGTATAATCGTGTCTGGACTGTGCATTTCCTCCACTTTGTTTTCATAGATGTGTGAAGAACAGAACAGAAGTAGTTTTGAAAAGGTGTGATTAATCAGTTTAGTCTCTCTTTCTCTCTGCGTGTAACTCCAGGAGCAGCTCTGGGTAGCGGCTGGCCCAGAAGCAAGCCCAGCTGTGTAATGTCAGCTGGGAATAGCCCACACTCACAAGATGTGTGCTACTGAGTTACAGCATGGACGAAATGAGCTAAGGCTAAGAGCAGAATGGAAAAAACAGATGTCAGGATTTCTTGGCCATGGCCTAATGATTTGCCTTATAGTGGTCCGACTACATAAAGCAGAAGGGGGAAGTGCATCTGTAAGAAATAGGACACATAGTACCTCAACCATCTGGGTTTTCAGATATTTGAGGTCTACCTACAGTACATAACACAGCCAGTTGTGACTTGCCGCTGTCAGATCAGTGCGATCTAAGTTTCAGACTAATGAATTAGATGTTAGCTTGACAGCTCATGACGCATCTCTTGGGTAAACGGTTATCTCACCGGGACAGATGCTCTTCATTGATTTCTAGACAGTCTGGTCATGTGCTCGCAAAGTCTAATTGAATAATGGGGATTCCCATGAAGAGGTCACAAGTCCTGGAATCTCAGTCTACAAGGAAAAGTAATATCTGTGAGCCATTTATTTCTCTGCCCTCTGTTTAGACCAGAAAGTACCCATAACAAAACCTTCTCTCCTATTCTGTTTTTTATATCCCCTACCCCCAAGCATCTGTTTTTCTGTGTTTCTGTTGTAATCTCAGTTCTCTAATTAGTCGATGGCAAAGATAAAGCCCATCCGTGAAACACAAACGGATTCTTTTGAAAAATAACTTTTGAAAACACAAGAAACCAAAACACAAACACTGTGCCTCCAGCAACCTTTCGGAGGACCCCTGTTGTTATACCCTGAAAATGAAACATTAGCATGTGTGCAAATAACAGTATGTCTATATGGAAATTAAACTTTTGGAACAATGAGACTTATCAAAACAATGCATATTTCTGGGGAATTTGTGGATCGGGTGGATAAAATAACAGAGCCATATTACCATTTAATGCAATCATGAACAGCATCACAACAAACACAAAATCTCTCCACAAAATACGATACGCGTTTACAGGTCACTGTGTATCTTAAAGCCTTTATCACAGCTGAAGAACTTCTAATTATTTGCCATAGACAGATTCTGACCTCCATATGATCCACCTCTGGGGCCTGACCAGACTTAACCTCTTCTTCCAGTACTTCTGCCATCACTGCATGAGCTTTTTTTAACCTGTGGCCTCGAGAGAAAACTCGCATTAGGCCAGATGTTATGAAGAACAAGCTCTGGTCTAAATACAGTAAGTGCAGTTGGTTAGTGTCCCGCTCCTCCCAGGGTGCCGCTCTCTCCCACTGCTGCTTCTCAAGCATTTATCGCACTTAATCTCACTTCTGAGACCGCCACTCAAAGACACCCATCACCACCAGCTCACCCCCGATTCCAGAACATGGCAGAGGCCGAGGCGTCCTACCGAGTCGCCAGTCAAGGGCACTTTGGGTGACCATTAGGCAAATAGGACCAACGCCAAAGCACGACAACAGATCGATGCTGAAAAGTGTGGTGCAACATTTTCCAATTCCTGTCAAACTTTCCGCTATTTAAACAAGAAAGACATCAAGTCCTAATCTCTCCATCATCATCATTAATATTGACATAACCGGTGCGATAAATCCTTCATGTTTGGAAGGCAACCAATTGCAGTGTTAAACAACAGTGCCCCAAAGCCATCTGCTAGTCTCAGAGTGCCACTCACACCCAAGCTGGAAAGCCATTAGCGCTCAGCTAAGTTCCCAAAGTTACATTTACTGTTGGCTCCAACAGCAGTTAATCAATAGCAAAACCACAGCAAATCATTCTCTTGGTGCTTTTTTGAAGTTGTCCTAACTTAGTGGGTGGATGGGATGAAGTTGTGAAATCTTTGTCTTCCAAATATCAGACAGTGGTGTTCTGCAGTAACAGCAAGCCTCGTGCATTATTAAATACAGAATACAGTCAAAACAAGCTTCATTCTCACTCTGCCATCTCATCAAGAAAAATGTGTGACTTTTTTTCTCAAGCAGACAAGAAAAACAGTCTGGGGTAAAACGTCCCTCTCTGAAAGACCATTAGCAACACGATCCCATAATGAGTTCGGCTGCCGCACAAAGGGGAACCTTCTTCGTGAGAGCCCCATGTCAGGGGAAATATTTACAGGCCACATCAAACGTGAAGTAATGCTGCCTGAGTCTGTGTTGTCATCGCGTAGACCTCTCCTAATGACAGGGCACTGAAATAATCCTCAGCGCACATGAAGGAATGCAGAGAATGCGGCGTGCTTGTTGTCATGTGAAATGGGAGGGTATTTAAAGCATGACTCGTATACGTAATGCCGCGTGTTATATCTTCAGCCAGGCATTATTTCTGACGGTTTTACGGCGCGAGTGAAAGCTGCACGGTTCCCATGAGGCCCAGGTACTCACGTGTAGAATGAATTTACTGACTTGAGACTTTATCGGAGGTACATTTCTCAGGACCAGTGCTCTCTCGCAACTGCAGTACAGCCCAACAATTCCTTACAGTGGTTAAAATGTCCTGAGAGCTGTAAGCTCTTAAGGAGTGCGTAATCACCTCCAAAGTACACTAAATCATAAAGAGGCATTTAAAAACTCCTGATATACTTTCCTTGACAGCAAGAAGAAGTGCACTCACAGAATATACCTTCAAGATACTTTTATAATATTTTATGTTTCCCAAAGTCAATATGCTCATTTTCATACTAAGCACAAAGACCTGGTAAATTTGATTTCCAATTGTCATTTTTTTCAGGAACTTTTCATTAAAAGCTAGTATTTGACATACAGACATACATACATACATACATACATAGTTATGATGTGAGCAGGGGCTAAGCTATGGTTAACCTGGCAGGTAATGTGTTTGCTGAGGTTCCTCTATGACCACAGCTTCTCTGATGTTTATCCGCCCATGTTTACTCATGTGTGTGAGAGCGTTTGATAAGGACATACTCAGCAGCTGCAGACGGCTGAGCCCCCCCCCACCCCACACCCGCTTCCTGCTCACATCTAGTCCCCTCCAACTGCTCGTGTGCCTTCATGAAATTTTAAAATACGAGCACCGTCCCCCACTGATTTGGCACTGAGGAGCAGGGATGGAGGAAAAAAAAGGACACACTTCTGTTAAAATCCACACTGACTGACACACAAACCAAATGCAATCTGTTTAAGATCAATGGTCCAGATTCTTCAGTAATAAAACATCAGATGCATTATTCATCCACATGAGGCCGACTGGCACGCTTTGCTCTTCCACACATTCTTAAAGATTAAGAGGGATGGAATCACATTCTAGACTATGTCTGGTTCTTATATAGTTCTCTTTGGAGTTGACTGGAAAAAAACAAATAAACCTTAAGCTAGATAAAACTCTGACCTACTGGTGTCGAGGTCAAGGTGCGTTCCTTGCTATGAGGAGTTCCCTCCACCACCTTGATGTGTCAAAAGATCAGAGGCTGGCGTTACAAATAAGACACCTTGTAGCCCCTGAAGTGAGCTCTGGGGTCAGGACCCTGCCAAAGACACAACCTCTTCCCACTCCATCCTCAACCTATCTCTGCTTGCCACGAATTTTGCACATACCGATGACATGCCAGCGTGGCCTCTGGGACTTCAAAACCAACTGCAAACCCTGAGCTGCAGGTTTGACAGAAAGCGGAGCTCTCACATGGGCTCCTGCATGTCAAAGGTTATGCAAATAGAATGTAAGATTCCTCTCTGAATGTATTTTTATGGCACACTTGAGAATGAATTACGACAGTGACTTTTCAAGGTGTTGTGGATATATCACATCTGATATGACTGTTAGTCTTGGCCTCCTGCCAAAGATACGCCTAGGTTTGCAGCCAAATACTCCTGCCATCCAATACTCCAAAGTTTATGTGCACATTGTCAGCAAAGATGTACACGTAGCAAATTTAATCAGCATCAATGAAAATGTATTCCCGTATGCCAATGTAATTCAAAATGACTGATCCTATCATAGCGAGGTAATGAAATAATCAGCATGACTAATGGTGTCTGCCTGCAGATTTCTTGAAACCTGCCTCTGCTTGTAGCAGGTCTCTGCATATCAGCCAGCCTCGGTTAAATTCATTAGTCTTATCAGCATGTTTTGAGGCTCGGTTCAGATGATCCGTCGCTCAGAGGTCTTTACTCACATCCCAAAGACCTGGTGTCATAGTATCAGTCCAGCCATCAAGCTCTCATATCCTCAGAGCCTGATAACTCAGCCGATAGCCCTGCTTTTTGTCAGTGGAGAGGGCAGCTACTCAGGTTAATATGTGTGATTTTTCAATTGGGAAAAAGACACTAACATCCGTGTGCTGTCAGCTTGATCTGTGACTTGGTGTCAGGGATTGAGGGAATCTTGGATGTTTTTGTAAAGCAGCAGGCTTGAAAAGAAGGACGACTGTTTCCTGGATCACAATAATTTGATGGATTCATAAAGGAAGATGATTGGTTCACGTTCGCCTAACCGCAGCCAACAATCTTTCGCCAAGTGTTTTAGTCGCCTAACCCTAATCTTATCCTTAAGATTCCAGTCCAGGCAACACCACACATCCACTGATTAAAACCGATCAGCCGGCCACGTCTTGTTTTTTAGATGATGAAGATGCATCGACTAATCAGTGATAAATGCATTTCCTTTCCTGGAGCTGCTTCGAAATAAGCCACCTCCTGTTCGGTTTGCATCAGCAGCATCTTAACACAGATCTGACGGTGAAAAGACAGTAAAG